TCTAGTTTTTCTCTGCTGCAGCTACAACAGAAAGAAGAAAAGATAAAACTCAGTGCCATGGCTGCTTTTGCTCAGGAGGTGTCTCTCGGAGCAGAGCTGAATGCCCCTCTTAGCCATGCCCTCCTTTGGCCTTTAACTCCTCACCTGAGCTGCCTCTACATTCCGTCTCTCAACTCATCAGGGCCATTAAAATTGAGTGTGCATCAGAAACACTTGAGGGGTTAAAACTAGATTGCTGAGTTCCATCCTAAATCTCTGATTCAGTAGGTCTGGGGTAGGGCCTGATATCATGCATTTTTGGCAGGTCCTTAGGTACTGATGTTCTGGGCACCATATTTGAGCTGCAGCCCCAAAAGGTTAACTTGCTTTGCAACTGGTGATTAGAATGTTGATGAGAGGGCGTATATTAAAAAATGAATTGTAAACACTCATCTCTAGTGATTAGAGGGATAAAGCTGCCTGGGTAGAGCTTCCCCGTTAGACAATGTGAAAAGTAGCCCACGCAGTCTATGTTACTTTTTGGAGAAAGTAGATGACTCTATCTGCTACCTCATAGTTCAATAAACTGAGATGACAGATCAAGGAAGAACCAAAAATATGTACATACAGATTTTATTGACAATTTCACTTGCTTGAAAGACTTCTTGGCTGGGCCGCAAACAGGATAAAATAACTTGCAAATGATGACAGATGTCTTTACCCTATATCCTTTTCTATTTGAAATCAAAGTTTGTTTGGAGACCTGTAGCATCATCCCAGTATAAATCTCTTGCCCTCCCAGCATGGCTGCCAAAAAGAATGATTCATGTGCAAAGAACTAACCCCCAGGAAGGCACTCCTCCCATAAGGTGACACAGCCACACTTCTCAAGGGACTCCTGAGGGCAGAGCAGTAACATGGGGCGTTTGTCCTAAGAATCTTACAGTTGAGCAGAGGAGCTTCAGGGTTGCTGAAAGTGTCTCGTCAGTTTTACTTTTAAACTTTTTTTTTTTTTAAACTATTTACCTATGTGAGCAAAAAATTTAATACTGTAAAATTGAAACAATGAAATATACCCATAAAGGCTTAGATATACTCATAAAGGCTGTGTCTGCCATATGAAACCTGACTTCAGATCTTTATGTTCCTCAAACTAACCTGATTATTCTGATTATATATGCTATACCATACATTTGAATTTATATAAAACACTATTTTTTTTTTTTCTATATTGTGGTTTCACATGAGATTTTTCTTTTCTTTTTTTGGTTTTGAGAAAGGGTTTTGGCTCTGTTGCCCAGGGTGGTACCATAACACTGCCGATTTGACCTCCTGGACTAAGGCAATCCACCTCAGCCTCCCAAGAAGCTGGGACCACAGTCTTGTGCTACCACACCTGGCTAATTTTTAAAGTTTTTGCAGAGATGGCGGTCTCGCCATGTTGCCCAGGCTGGTCTCAAACTGCTGGGCTCAAGCAATCCTCCCACCTTGGCCTCCCAAAATGTTGGTATTACAGGCATGAGCTACTGTACCCAGCCAACTTGTTATCCAGCTATTTAACCAAACTGTGAAATCATTACATCAGAGAAAAAGCAAATAAAGCATCAATGACTAGTTGCTCAAAAATGCTCTGAGCCTCCTGGGATGCTATGTGCAGGGTTTCTATTTCCATCTCATCACACTATCAACCACATATACCCTTAAGTTCTTTTAAACCTTACACTCCTTGGTTATTATGGCTGTGAGGCTAATTATCCCAGAGAAAAGGACAAAAAAAAAAAAAAAAAAACCCCAAAAAAACAAAACCCAACCCCCCACTCCAGCTGCTGACCACTTTCCTCAAGTGATCATCTTGATGCTATCATGATCATCTTCTGTGATCAGCAAGGACTGTGCCACTAGGACTAATGGGCACCCTGGGTCTCCTGTTCTAAAGATTATAAATGACGCGCTAGAAAGGGCAAAGCAAATAATTGTTCTACCCACTAATAACGCCTATCAGGACTTTTTCCTCAAGGAGTACATAGCTCTTCTTTCTAATGAAAACGAAATTACAGATATGGAAGAAAAAACAAGTTAAAGAATACTGAACAAATCTAAATAAAAACCCATTTTGTACTACTATAGGTGATCTACAGATTCAATGCAATCCCTGTCAAAACACCAATGACATTCTTCACGGAAATAGAAAAACCCTAAAATTTGTATGGAATCACAAAAGACCCTGAAAGCTAAAGTGATACTGAATAAAAAGAACAAAAGCTGTAACAGGCATCACACTACCTGATTTTATAATTTTCTTTTTTTAAAGACAGGGTCTCACTCTGTCACCTAGGCTTGAGTGCAGCGGCATCATTGTGGCTCAATGAAGTCTCAGCCTCCTGGGCTCAAGTGATCCTCCCACATTAGCCTCCTAAGTAGCTGGGACTACAGGTGCACACCAGCACATCTGGCTAATTTTTGTAGCGACAGGATTTTGCCATGTTACCCAAGCTGGTCTCGAACTCTTGGGCTCAGCCTCCCACCAAATTGCTGGGATTACAGGTGTGATCACACCCAGCTCACACTACCTGATTTAAAAAATGTTTAACTGCTTATTCTCCATAGAAGTCATCATTTTAACAGGAACTAGCATAAAGATCATGCAGTCCACTGTGAAAAGCTTGCTCGGAACTGCTAAGTGATATTAATTTGCATTCAGAATGTCTAGCCTCCAGGGATCTCACAGAACATGAACCAAAGTTACCTCATCTGTAACAAGGAGGAAGAACACCAGAAAAGCTCTTGTGGGGGCTGAAATTCCATGTAAAGAGTAATTTCTCTCTTCTAGGTTATCTACTGTGGGGTAACACCTAGAGCAGAGCAGTATCTTATTCATGATTTCTATACTCATTAAGGGAAAAGAATCTAGCCATTCAAACTACACATGTGTAACAACACACATTATTTACAAAGCAACTTAAATTGGTTAAGTCTAATGACAGGTGAATTCATTTTAGAAGCAACTGAGGGAATGAATTCAATTTGAATTTTTTCAAATGAAGAGAATGACGTAAGAAACACTCAAAGCCTTGGAGACAGAAAATTCTGGTGCATTAGAATTTATAAAGACAAGGACAAATGGAAGTTTTAATTCCATCTGGAACGAACAGTAGGCAGTAAGATTCAGTTTGCACCAGTGCCTTCACTGGACTGGCTTTAGAAAAACGGACTAAGAGACCAAAGCCTTCCAGATCCACTATGGCCATTCACAAGGTCAACTTTTTTAGCAAGAAATTCAAATACTAAATGCAAATACTTTTTTTTTTTTTTTTTTGCTAAAATAGAGCATCATTGTTAGTAAAAATAGGTAAGAAAAATTTTGCTCTTTTCCCTCTTCTCTTTTTTGAGACAGGGTCACGCTCTGTTGCCCAGTGAAGAGTGTGGTGGCACCATCATCGCTCACTGTAGCCTCGAACCCTCGGGCTCAACTGATCCTCCCATGTAGCTGGGACTACGGGCAGGCACGTGCCTGGCTAATTTTTTCTAGAGATGGGGTTTCACCATGTGGCCTAGGCTGGCCTCGAACTCCTGGGCTCAAGCAATCCTCCTAACTTGGCCTCCTAAAGTACTGGGATCACAGGAGCCACTCTGCCCGGCCAAGTTTAATTACATAAGTAAATTAAGGGAAAAGCTCCCCCATCCCCCTCCCTTTTTTGGAAAATCTGGGGAGGGCTCCAGAGCTATCCCGAGTCTGAAGTAGCAATCTTTACAGTCTCTAGCCGGCAGGGGCCAGAAGACTCTGGATAGTCTAGGTTAATGGCCTCCTCTCAATCGACTTGGCTATCAGAATGATCCTTTGGGAAATTTGTTCCCATTCGCTGGATACTGATGTCTGAAGGCCATAAATGCCAGGCAGGCCCAATTTTATTTATTTATTTATTTATTTATTTATTTATTATTTTTTAGATGGAGTCTCGCTGTCTCCCAGGCTGGAGTGCAGTGGAGCGATCTCGGCCCACTGCAAGCTCCGCCTCCCGGGTTCACACCATTTTCCTGCCTCAGCCTCCTGAGCAGCTGGGACTACAGGTGCCCGCTACTACGCCCGGCTAATTTTTTGTATTTTTAGTAGAGACAGGGTTTCACTGTGTTAGCCAGGATGGTCTTGATCTCCTGACCTCTTGATCCGCCCCCCTCAGCCTCCCAAAGTGCTAGGATTACAGGTGTGAGTAACCAATTTATTTTAAATGATTTTTCCTTTAGGGCCACATGATTGCAATTTATTAAACGTAATTCAAATAACAGATTTAGAAAATACTCATGAAGGAAAATACATGGCAGATCCTGACCAGCGAAATATCAGACAGGTTATAAGTGGAATAGACTTAAGTCTGTGTTCAGGAGCCCTCACTCCTCTTACTCAAGCAGATTGTTCGTGGGAGGTTCTCTGATTCCAGCTCTAAAATGCTTTGGCAAATACGAGAAATAACTAAACATGGATCAAATGAATCCATTTGCCCTACCCCTACCCCTAGTCTTTTTTCTCTTTACTCCTAATTCCTGTCCTCTTATGTGTTCTCAAACACTAAAGGGACTTTGAGTGCCATTTTCTAAATAAAAATTCTCATGATCTTGACTGCATCCTAATGAACCTCAAGGAGTGATGATTCAATGAAGAAACTCAACGGTTTTTATGTAATTGTTATCTGAAATCGAGGTTGGTGGTATCCTAGGATTTTTAATTCCATTTAAGCATAATCCCAGGGAACTGAATTATGCTTAAATTCTTGCAGGCAAGAACAATTCCCAAGAAAATAAAAAAGGAAATCTGGTTTCCGAAAAAGCCAATATCCTCTCTTAGCCATGCTGCCCCTTTGGGGTCAAAATAACTGAGAAGTCAGTAGCCCTGTGGTACTGCAGCCCACAGTAAAGGCAGAGTCGGAAACTTTTTCTAACTGTTGTGTCCTCCTCTAGTATTCACTATGTCCCCATCCTAGGTTCCTAGCTGTTTATGATCAAGCGAAAGTAAGAAGTAAGCTTACCTAACATCTCTTCTTTTAGTCTTTCATTACGTTCTTCAATTTGCTTAGGTAATCTCTGAGGAAAAGAAGAGAAACAAGGGTTGGTAAAAAAAAAAAAAATCCTTTGCCTTTATTTTGAATTTGAGAAACACGAGAATCCTAATGTGGAAATAAGATCAAATTAAGCATATGTCTACGATCCTATTAAATAAAGGGGGAAAAAAAAACCCAGTATTTATGTTTGTGGGTGTGCTACATAAAGACAGTTCTGTTTGGACCAGGTGCAGGGACTCCTGCCCTTATTCCCAGCACTTTTGGAGGCTGAGTTGGGAGGATCGCTTGAGTTCAGGAGTTTGAGACCACCTTGGGCAACATGGCAAAGTGCCATCTCTACAGGAAATACAAAAATCAGCTGGGTGCGGTGGCATGTGTCTGTAGTCGCAGCTGAGGCTGAGGCGGGAGTGCTGCTCGAATCTGGGAGGTCGAGGGTGCAGTGAGCCATGACTGTGCCACTGCTCTCCAGCGTGGGTGACAGAGACCCTGTCTCAAAAAAAAAAAAAAAAAAAGTTTTGTTTGGCTCTATTTCCAGGTCTTAAGAGAAAGCCTACACTAAAGGAGGGCATCAATACAAATTTAACAAATAAATATATACAGGAAAAAAGTCTGAAAGGATACATATCAGATGTTTGCAGTGCTATATTTGTATTTTTAACTTTTTTTATTCATTTGTATTTTTCTTTTTTTTTAAGACAGTCTCACACTGTCACCCAGACTGGAGTGCAGTGGTGCAATCTCAGCTCACTGCAACCTCCACCCGCCAGGTTCAAGCAATTCTCCTGCCTCAGCCTCTTGAGTAGCTGGGATTACAGGCATGTGCCACCACGCCCAGCTAATTTTGTATTTTTAGTAGAGACAGGGTTTCTCCATGTTGGTCAGGCTGGTCTCGAACTCCCGATCTCAGGTGATCTGCCCTCCTCGGCCTCCCAAAGTGCTGGGATTACAGGCGTGGGCCACCGCACCCAGCCTGTTTGTTTAAGAGACAAGGTCTTACTCTGTTGCTCATGATGGAATGCAGTGATGTAGTCATAGCTTGCCGCAGCCTCCAACTTCTAGGCTCAATGATCCTCTCTGTCGCCCACGCTGCAGTGCAGTGGCATGATCTCAGCTCTCTGCAACCTCTGCCTTCTGGGTTCAAGCAATTCTCCTGCCTCAGCCTCCCGAGTAGCTAGGACTACAGGTGTGTACAACCGCACGCAGCTAATTTTTTGTATTTTTAGAAGAGATGGGGTTTTGTGTCTCGAGCTGGTCTCGAGCCCCTGGCCTCAAGTGATCTCTCCTCCTCGGCCTCCTGAAGTGCTGGGATTACAGGCATGAGCCACGCCTGGCCTCCTATATATCTTGATAAGCTTCTCAAAAGCACAGAAATGGAATTTAACCGAGTCTGAAAGGATTATTTAGGACTCACTGGGCAGCAACACAAAGAATAGAAGGAAAAATATTAAAAAAAATTTAGGTTTTACCATACAAGCCTCTCTTGCTTGATGTACTGATGGATCTTTTTCTAATATAGATTTATAGTCTTCCAGGGCTTCATCTAGCTTGTCCGTCTTCTCATACAACTCCGCTCTCCTCAATATTGCCCTGATATAGCTGGGGTTTAACTGAATTGCTGTAAGAAGAGAAGAAATAATTTTTATCACAAAGAAAAAGGGCCTACATATCTTTGGCTATATCGGATTCCTTCATCAATCATCCTCCAAGGTACGAAAGGAAGAGTCATTTGTCAAGTGCATATCTGATGCTTAAAAACTTTTTCCACAAAGAGCAAGACAGTAAAGACTGTAGGCTTTGTGGGCCAGACAGACCCTCTGTGTCGCAACTCCTCGGTGATGCTATTGTAGCACGACCGCAGGCACACACAGTACGTAAACAAAAAAGGGTGGGTGTGTTCCAATAAACTATTTATGGACACTAAAATTTAAGTTTACATACTTTTCACATTATCATGAAATATTTTTCTTTTGCTTTCCAATCATTTACAACTGTAAAAACCATTCTTATCTTTTAGGCTATCAAAAACAGGTGGCAGGCTGGATTTGGCTTGTGGCTGTAGTTTGCCATATCCTGGTCTATACTCCAAGTCCTGGTTTTTGCCCACTTGTCATTTACCCAGTCCAGGACAGGCCAGAACACAGAGTTCAAGTGAAAGAGAGAGAGAGAATTTTTTTTTAGACGGAGTCTCGCTCTGTCGCCCAGGCTAGAGTGCAGTGGTGCGATTTTGGCTCACTACAACCTCCCCCTCCCAGGTTCAAGCGATTCTCCTACCTCAGCCTCCCATGCAGCTGGGATTACAGGCATGCGCCACCACGCCTGGCTAATTTTTGTATTTTTAGTAGAGATGGGGTTTCACCATGTTGGCCAGGCTGGGTGAGAGATAATTTGAAGATACAAATTAAAGAGTTAAGGGAAACCAGTCTGGTGGCAGAGTTTATCATTCTCTTTTTCCTAGGTCTTGAGTACTAAGATTACATTTCTAGTTAAATCCTCACTGTTCCTTCAACCCTCAAACTACTGCTCCAGCACTATGAGGTGGTTGATGCACAGTATCTTGTCCTTTATCCAGCATCAGCTGCCCTTCTAATAATCCTTTGCTATGTTTTGGTTCAACATACCGCATTTCTTCTCATTTCTTCCGAGTTGTTTCTTTTTCTATTAGAAAGCAGTGCTGGCCAGCGGCGGTGGCTCACGCCCATAATCCCAGCACTTTGGGAGGCTGAGGCAGACAGGTTAGTTGGGGTCAGGACTTTGAGACCACCAGCCTAGCAACCTGGCGAAATCCCATCGCTACTAAAAATACAAAAATTAGCTGGGTGGGCCTGTAATCCCAGCTATTCGGTTGGCTTAGGCATAAGAATCACTTGAACCCAGGAGGCGGAGGTTGTAATGAGTGGAGACTGCATCACTGCACTCCAGCCCCGGCAACAGAGCGATAATACTGTCTCAAAAACAAAAACAAACAAACAAAAACAAACAAACAAAAAAACCCCAATGTCTTGGCTCTAGAACTCTTTTCTTTTCTCATAATCTATCCTTAATTTTAAAATTCATGCTTCCTGGTATATGTCTGGGCTATAGTGGTAAACAAGACAGACACAGTCCTTGTTCTCAGTGAAGCCTTATGCTATTCTAGTAGGCAAGAGTAGACAGGTATATACTTTCAATAGTCATAGTACTAAAATGAAAAATAAAACAAGGTCATGTAAATGCAAGTGAAGCGAGAAATGAGGTAACTTCAGAAAGTGGTCTCAGAATATGAAGAGGGACTATGTGAGACAGGCCAGCCACGTCAAAGGCTAAGGAGGAGTGTGCCAGGAAGAGGGACCAACAAGAATAACTCTGGCATGTTACCAGGCTGGGGACCAGAGGTTGAAATGTGAGGCCATGGAGGACCTTCTTGGCCAGCGAAAGGAGTTTGGACTTTTTCCTGAGTGTGATGAGAAGCCACTGGAAAGTTTTCAAGCAAGCTTCAGACATTGTCTGATTTACATTTTTGAAGGACTGCTTTGGCTGTAGTGTGGGGGTTGGGGCAAGACTGAAAGCTGTGAGATCAGCTGGAAAGCTAATGCAGTGGTCCAGATGAGAGAAGATGTTGGCTTGGTTTAAGCTGGAAATAGTAGAGATGGAAAAGAGCAGCTGGATTAGATTGTCTTTAAATCTGAGCCCACGGAACTTGCTAATTAATTAATTAGCCATGTGGCATGAAAGAACAATCAGGGATGACTCCCAGGGTTTAACTTAAGCAAGGGAATGGATGGTAATGCCATTTATTAGAATGGAAAAAATGAACTGCAAGTTCTGTGTGTGTATGGGGGCTGGGCACGTTAAATCTGAGGTGCCTACCAGACATCCAAGCAGAAAGAACAACTTTGCAGTGGGATACAGGACACTAGACTACAGGGCAGAAGTCAGAGCTGAAGACAGAAACTCTGCCATACAGATGGCATGTATTTATTAGTTTTATATTTAAAAATTCATTAATTTTGGCTTTTATCTTTATGAAAATACTCCTTTTGTTTCCCTTAATTGCATTTTTGTTGCTCCAATTTCTTTTTTTTTAGATGGAATCTTGCTCTGTCACCCAGGCTAGAGTGTAATGGGACGATCTCGGCTCACTGCAACCTCCACCTCCCGGGTTCAAGTGATTCTCCTGCCTCAGCCTCCTGAGTAGCTAGGATTACAGGCATGCGCCACCATGCCCGGCTAATTTTTGTATTTTTAGTAGAGACAGGGTTTCACCATAATGATTAGGCTGGTCTTGAACTCCTGACCTCGTGATCCACCAGCCTCAGCCTCCCAAAGTGTTGGGATTACATGCGTGAGCCACTGTGCCCGGCCTGTTGCTCTGATTTCTTAGGTTAAATAATCCATGCATTTTCCTTGTCAATTTAACTTTTAAAACAACAAATAAAAATTGTGTATATTTATGGTATATAACATAAACATAACATAATGTGTTTTGAAATACACACACAAGGTGGAATGGCTACATTGTGCTAATTTATAGATAGTATTTAAAGCTTCAGAACTGAATGAGATCACTTCGGGAGAAAATACCAAGGGAAAACAAGAGAAGAGGGTCCCATGCTGGACTAAGATCTAGAGACTTCCAAAATGTTGAGGTTGACATAAAAGCTAACAAAGGAGAGTAAGAAGGAACAGCCAACGAAGCAGGGAAAAAACAAATAGACTTCATTAAAATTAAGAGGGAGAATTTTAAAGGAGAAAGGAATGATAAACGGTATTAAATGCAGGTAAGGTCAAGTAAAGTTAGGCTAGAGAAGCAACTACTAAATTGAGCAAGATGAAACTGTTGATGACCTTTACAAGATGGGTTTCAATGGCATAGATAAAACAAATGCTCCATGGAAGTGAAGTAAGGAGAAAATGGAAGACTAAGTAGAGACAGCCAAGTATAGACAATTATTTCAATGAAAGGGATCAGATAAATGGTATAGCAATTAAAGGGGAATATTGGGTCAGGAGAAGGTTTTCTGAAAGAACCCCAAATCTTGAGCCGGGCGCAGTGGCTCATCCCTGTAATCCCAGCACTTTGGGAGGCCAAGGTGGGCAGATCACGAGGTCAGGAGTTCGAGATGAGCCTGGCCAATATGGTGAAACCCCATCTCTACCAAAAATACAAAAATTAGCCGGGCGTGGTGGCATGTGCCTGTAGTCCCAGCTACTCAGGAGGCCGAGGCAGAAGAATCGCCTCCTGGGAGGCGGAGGTTGCAGGGAGCCGAGATGGCACCGCTGCACTCCATCCTAGGCGACTGAGCGAGACTCTGTCTGAAAAAGTAAAATAAAATATAAAAGATAAAAATGTTAGCTGGGTGTGGTGGCGTGCACCTGTAGTCCCAGCTACTTAGGAGACTGAGGTGAGAATGAACTTAAACTTTATGTCAAGGATGAAAACCCTGGAGCTCCAATATGACCTCAGAAATAAGCTCTTTGCCAAGGTTTATCAATTGAGAGAGGGGAGAGAGACAGAGACAAAGAGAGAGAGAGAGAGAGAGAGAGAGAGAGAGAGAGAGAGAGAGAGAGTGTGTGTGTGTGTGTGTGTGTGTGTGTGTAGGGTGGGGGATGTCGGGGGCTCTCGATACACACAAACCATATTGATATAAATGTAATTTGCCTATGAATACAATGCATGTATCCATAACGACTATGTCTAACCACATAAATATTAGTTTAAGCAAATCCAAAAACAAATGTGGAAAACACTTTCGCTGGAAAGCACTTTCTTCTCCTTTCCCTCATTTTCTAGGCAAGGCTCCTACACTTTGGGCTGCAGCTGGAAGTAAACTGTTTCATATGGAAATGAACTATTTCTAACAATATACCATGCTAATCACGCTTACAAGGCATTTTTTCACCATTTGGTTACAGAGAAAGAAGTTCTGAAAACCAGCAGCTTGTTCCTAATTTAAACTTCTCAAACCCACACATCCTCACATAAAGGAAATAGGTTAAATAACTTCTTCCAAACAAAACAGTACATTCAGAATTAGTTCCAGTCCAACTTGGTAACAGATCAGAAGTGGTCTTCTATATTACAATATAGAAACAGTTTCAGACACTATAAGGAAATACAAAATATAAAGAAAAGAAAGCCAGTAGAGAGGGCAGCAAATTAATTAAATAAAAAAACAGGAGTGTCAGAGGCATTTGAATCAGAGTGGCTCCATCTTGAATAGGGGCTAGGTAAAATAAGGCTGAGCCCTACTGGGCTGCATTCCCAGGAGGTTAAGGCATTCTTAATCACAGGATGAGAGAGGTTGGCACAAGATACAGGTCACAAAGACCCTGCTGACAGAACAGGATACAGTAAAGAGGCTGGCCAAAACCCACCAAAGCCAAGATGGCGATTGAAGTGACCTCTGGTCATCCTCACTGCTTCCTATATGCAAATTATAATGCATTAACATGCTAAAACACATTCCCTCCAGCACCACGATAGTTTACAAATGCCATGGCAACATTCAGAAGTTACCCTATATATTCTAAAAAGGGACCCTCAGTTCTGGAAAATCTCTGCCCCATTCTTGGAAATCTCATGAGTAATCCACCCCTTGCTTAGCATATAATCAAGAAATAACTGTAAGTATACTTTACTGAGCAGCCCACACTGACTGCTGCTCTGCCTATGGAGTAGCCCTTCTTTTGTTTCTTTATTTCTCTAATAAACTTGCTTTTTCACTTTATGGTCTTGCCCTGAATTATTTCTTGTGAGAGGTCCAAGAATCCTCTCTTGGGGTCTGGATCAGGATCCCTTTTTGGTAACAGCAGGGGAATACATGCTTAGTGTAAGAGGGGATCTAGATAACATATAAGGTTCTCTTCCACTCTATAATTCTCCCAGAAACTATTATCCAAAGAAGAAAAACTAAAAAAATTGAAAACACAAAAATAGTGATTTGCTAGAAAAACTTCTGAGACTAAGCTGCAAGACAAAGTGATAATGTGTATTCTCCACATGAAGTTGGTTAGAGGCAAGACACCAGTCTGGCCTGTCAGGCAATTTTTGAAAAACAAAACAAAACCCCCCAAAACACAAAAAAACTGTAGTGACCCTATGTCTGAGGTGTCGCTATAGAAGTTGGTGGGATGATAAGATCTTAATAGAACTTAGGTATCATATAGCAAAGGCTTGATTCATTGTGAATCTGAAAGGGTAAAAAAAATGATGTGAAGTAGGTTTGGAAGAATTATGACACCCGAAAAGACTATCAATTCACTAACAGAAACTGTCCCTCATCACAGTTGTCCCCCTTCTCAAAATACACAGATCCAAATGCTCTAACAGCAGCTATGATCTTCAATTTGAATCTCAACAGAAAGTAATTACAGGAGGTAAATTCTATTCCATGAGTTCTGTTGCCAAGATAGCACTGATTTTTTTTTTTCTTTTGGAGACAGGGTCACTCTGTCACCTAGGCTGGAGTACAGTGGCATAATCATGGCTCACCACAGCCCCAACCTCCTGGGCTCAGCCTCCCGAGTAGCTGGGACTGCAGGCGCATGCCACCACATCTGCCTAACTTTTGTATTTTTGGTAGAGACAGGGTTTCGCCATGTTGCCCAGGCTAGAATTTTTCTTCATGTATTTACCAGTAGAGGAGAAACTGACTGAACTATCCATTCAAAAGCAGTTACTCTAAGATGACTATTTTATAGTATCTCTGAAAATACAGAATTATAAAGCTACCTCTTGAAAGGCCCCAGAGGAAGGGTACACATGTACAAGCGCACACCTGACCCAAAGCCCCTCTGTCTGACATAATGCTCCTGTATGTTAACATGTAGTGAGATAACAAAGCTGTACCTTTGCTGCAGTCATTGATGGCCATTTCTTTCTTGTCCTAAAAAGAAAAATAGTATTAATATGTGTTGCCCTAGTTTTATCTTAATGGCCCAAAGGCTTAATGACATGATCTGATCACTAATAACTGCTTATGGAGATACAGAATGGTTTTCAAAGGAACTACGTAAAAACCTGAATGTTACTTCCAAGACAAAATTCAAAATTTACGTGGGGATGGCTCTGATCTGAAAGCCTCCTGGTAACACATTATTCAAGTCGCTTCTTTCTGAAAGTGTCTTTAAAGATTGTTCTAACTGACCTATTACATTTGCAAGACACTTTACATTAGAATGCTGACATTGAGAAACTCTGTGACCTAAATCAGAACAAATGACTGACATGTGAATAATTGAATTACCCTTCTCTCTGGCTAGTGGTTATACTATCATACTCCAAAGTTGTATATTTCAGAAAGTATACAGATGCTCCATCTACAGACACACAGTGTGGCTTGTCATGTAGTCTCAGTTATAAACCTTAATTTATCCACTGATCAAACAAAAATACAAAACACTTAAACAAAGTGTTTAACTAATTGAACTTTCTGAATCTAGAAGCATGACACAGCAGAAAGAACACTGGATGTCAAAGACTGAATTCTGGTCCTGGCTCTGACAATAACCTGCTCTTTAACACTGGCCATGCTATTTTCCTTCTCTAGGGCTCAGTTTGTCTCATTTAAAATAGGAGCAGCGTGGACTGGATGTTATATAAGATGTCTTGCAGTTCTAAAATATCCATTTTCCTGAAATTAGGAATTTTTGTATTACAGAAATAAGTTATTTCAAATAAGTGTTCAATATTCTCACAATGCCTACTGTATGTAGCAAATACTAAATATTCTGCAGAATATTTCAGAGCAATGTCAGCCAAATTGTTGCAGGATTCAATCAAAAGCAGTTTCAGGGCTGGGTGCAGCGGCTCACATCTGCAATCCCAGCATTATGGAGGATCAAGGTGGGAGGATTACTAGAGGTCAGGAGTTCGAGACCTGGCCAACATGGTGAAATCCTGTCTCTACTAAGAATACAAAAATCAGCCAGGCGTGGTGGCGGGTGCCTGTGATCCCAGCTACTTGGGAGGCTGAGGCAGGAAAATTGCTTGAAATCAGGAGGTGGAGATTGCAGTGAGCCGAGTTCACGCCACTGCACTCAAGCCTGGGCAACAAAGCAAGACTCCGTTTCAGAAAATAAAAAAAAGTTTCAGGATGAAGAGTGACGACTTAATGAGTGTGGGGTATCCTTTTAGGATGATGGAAAAGTTCTGGAACTAGATAGTGGTGTTGGCTATATAACACTGTGAAGGTATTTTAATACACTGAATTGTATACAGTCGTGCACTGTATAATGACATTTCAATCAATGATAGATTGTGTATAAAACAGTAGTCCCATAGGAGTATAACGGAGCTGAAAAATTCCTATCACCTAATGACACAGTAGCCATCATAACATCATGGCATAACTTACTACTCAGATGTTGGTGTGATGCCAGGGTAAACAAACCTACTGCACTGCAAGTCATGTGAAAGTATAACACAGGCTGGGCATGGTAGCTCATGCCTGTAATCTCAGCACTTTGGGAGGTCAAGGTGGGCGGATCACCTGAGGTTGGGAGTTCAAGACCAGCCTGGCTAACATGGTGAAACCCCATCTCCATAAAAAATACAAAAAAATTAGCTGGGCATGGTGGTGCACACCTGTAATCCCAGCTACTTGAGAGGCTGAGGCAGGAGAATCGCTTGAACCCGGGAGGCAGAGGTTGCAGTGAGCTGAGATAGCACCACTGCACTATAGCCTAGGCAACAGAGTGAGACTCCATCTCCAAAAAAAAAGAGAAAGCATAACATATACATAACACTTGATAAAAAATGGCTGTTACTGGTTTATGTATTTACTATACACTACTTTTTATTATGTTAAGAGTGCACTCCTTCCACTAAAACAAAGTTTACCATCAAACAGCCTCAGACAGGTCCTACAGGAAGTATGGAAGTATTCCAGAAGAGGGCACTGTTATCATAGGAGACGACAGTTTCATGTATGTGTCGCTCTTGAGGACCCTCCAGTGGGACTAGATGTGGAGGTGGAAGACAGTGATACTGATGCTCCTGATCCTGTGTAGGCCTAGGCTACTGTGTGTATTTGCATCCTAGTTTTCAACAGAAAAGTTTAAAAAGTGAAAAACAAAAAAAAAAAAACAGAAAAAACAAACCACTATTTAATAGAAAAAAGTATATAGAATAAGGATATAGCTGGGCATGGTGGCTCACGCCTATAATCTTAGTGACTCGGGAGGCTGAAGCAGGAGGACCACTTGAGGCCAGGAGTTCAATACTAATCTGTGAAACACAACAAGACCCCATTTCTTAAAAAATTAAAAAAAAAATTAAAAGAAAACCAAACAAAATTAGCTGGGCGTGGTAGTGCAGGTCTGTAGTCCCAGCTACTTGGGAGGTTGAAGTGGGAGGATTGCATGAGTCCAGGAGTTCAAGGCTGTAGTGAGTGATGACAATGCCATTGCACTCAAGCCCTGGCAAAAGAGCAAGATACTGCCCCGGCTCAGAAGATAAGGATATAAAGAAAATGTTTTTGTAGTTGTACAACATGTTTATGTTTTAGGCTATTACAAAAGAGTTTAAAAGAATTTAAAAGTTGATAAAGAAAACAAGGCACAGTAAACCAAGGTGAATTTATTAAAGAAAAATAAAATAAATTTAGTGAAGCCTAAATGTAACATATTTATGAAGTCTACAATAGTGTAATGTCCTAGGCCTTCACATTCACTCACCACTCACTCACTGACTCACCTAGAGCAATTTTTAGTCCTGCAAGCTCCATTCATGGTATTTACGGTATATGTATGTGTGTGTGTACACATATGTGTGTGTGTGTATATATCTATATATACAGATGCACCATTTGAAAAATATCTTATACTGCATTTTTACTGCACTTTTTCTGTTTAGATACTCAAATACTTACCATTGTGTTCCAACTGCCTACAGTACTCAGTGCGGAAACATACTGTACAGGTTTGTAACCTAGGAGCAATAGGCTATGCCATATAGCTTAGGTGTGTAGTAGACCATACCATCTGGATTTGTGTAAGTATATGATGTTCGCACAATGATGAAATCACCTAATAACACATTTCTCAGAATGTATGCCTGTTGTTATGTGACTCACGACTGTACTTTAAAATGGCCAACTTTATGTTATCTGTATCCTACCACAATATACAAAACAAAAAAGGTTTCAGGGTCATCTGGGAACTTTTTTATTTCTCTTCCAATGTTCAGCATACCAATTCAAGTATTGAAAACTCTAAGAAGTCCTTTAAAGAAATCTGTATAACTTTATATGTCAGTATTTCTCCAACTTATCACATTTCTGTAAGTCAAAGACACATAATTTCACAGTTTCTGAAATAGAAATAAATCTTTACAATTTATGTGTACAGCTGTTGTGGTGGTATTCTTTGTGTGCCTAGAAGTGATTATTAAGCTGTAGTGCACTGTCCTCTTCAAACCAAGGAATTACGGAATTTTCTTGCAGAAACTTTTGCTTGAGGCTTATAGTCTACTAATACCTCAGAAGACCCAGGTGTTGTCTACTGCTTACAATGGTAGCCCCCAAAGTGGAGTGTGTGAAAAAAACAAATCACAACTTTATCATTCTTTCATAATTTTTATATATAGGTAGCTATCTATATAAAACAATATACATAATACATAAGGACAAAAATGTACACAATATATAAGGAGAAACAAATCTAACTATACATATAAAACAATGTATATAATATATAAGGACAGTAGTTAAAAAAAGAAAAAGAGAACCTATTCTTTTAGGGCTCTGCTCTTGTGTAGCTAGCAAGACCTAGAGCTGAAACTCTGCCCTAACTCCAGGTTACCTTTTCTCTCTCCAGATATGAAATGTGAAGGGTGGCCAGGGGCACTATGTCAGGGATGCTAAGCTTGCAAACCTGCCTTTCAGAAATTCTTCGTCTTTACCTCTCAAAGCAGTTAAACCATCATTTCCTTGAAAAACTTAGAATATGCTCCTTAAATTGTGTCAGGGCACTAATCCTAGAAGTTATCAAGTCTCTCACTTTAGAGTCTTCATAAAGTATTAAAAATGCAACTTAAGGCCAGGCACGACGGCTCATGCCTTTCTAGCACTTTGGGAAGCTAAGGTGGGCGGATCATGAGGTCAGGAGTTCAAGACCAGCTTGACCGACATGGTGAAACCCCGTCTCTACTAAAAATACAAAAATTATCCAGGTGTGGTGGCGGGCACCTGTAATTCCAGCTACTTAGGAGGCTGAGGCGGGAGAATCGCTTGAACACGGGAGGCAGAGGTTGCAGTGAGCTGGGATCATGCCACTGCACGCAAGCCTGGGTGACAGAGCGAGACTCCAATAAAAAAAAAAAAAAAAAAAAAAAAAAGAATGCAACTTAAAAGAACAGAAAACTTCACCAACAAAACTATTCTTTGAACAGGAAGCAATCATAGAGCAATGCTCTTTTGAGTTTTCCTCAGATGTGACAGAAAAACTACTAGCAAGACCATATATTTTCTTAACTCAAGAACCAGACTATTTATGCCAGCCCAAACCTAGAAATATTAATAACTTGGGCAACTGTGGAAACAAAGAATCCCAAATCCCAGGAACCAACTGGGTATGGTGTATTTCCCCTGATACTGAAGGCGCATCCTTGATCCTATTTCACAATGACAATGTCCAGTCTAAGAATGTGGCAAAATGGAGAAGCAAATCCAAAAGATGAGAATTTTCCAGGTAGGTGTAAAAACTGTTAGATGTTAATTCTGATTGCTGGTGAGATACATTAAAGAATATTGTTTTAAATAAACTTAAACCAATTGTTTTGTTTTCTCTGATACAAAATGTTGGTTTGTATACTCTAAAATTATTTCTTCTCTCATGCCGCATGAAATAGTCCAAAAACACTCCGCTTTGTTGAATCCTATACAAGTTCCGGTAAAAAAACCCGTAACCTTTCTGCATGTCCAAGCATTCAAGCACACACCCCCATCCCTGCCCTGGGGCCTTTCAAAAACAAACAAACAAACAAAAAAACCTTGTCACCTAAAGTGACTGTAGTAGAGGCATTTGAGAATTTCAGACAGTATCCAAAGAGATATCTGATCTAAACAAATGAAAAAACTGCCACTCCCAATCTTGAGTCAGCATCATGGTTGCTTAAAGCTATGTTAAATAACCTATCCTTTGCGCTCTGAATGTAAGTAGCCATAGTTTTAAAAGTGGTATTGTTTTAAAAAAAAACAAACCACTCCCATTTCAATCCAATGATTATGAAGACTAACTAGGAAAATCAGACAAATCAGAAAGAAATCTAACTTATTTTTTGAGACGGAGTTTCACTCTTGTCGCCCAGGCTGGAGTGTAGTGCACTGCAACCTCCGCCTCCAGGGTTTAAGAGATTCTCCTGCCTCAGCTTCCTGAGTAGATGGGATTACAGGCTCACCACCATGCCTGGCTAATTTTTGTATTTTTAGTAGAGATGGGGTTTGACCATGTTGGTCAGGCTGGTCTCAAACTCCTGACCTTATGTGATTCGCCCGCCTTGGCCTCCCAAAGTGCTGGGATTACAGGCATGAGCCACTGTGCCTGGCCCAAATCTAACTTTTAATACCATCACGGTATAAAACAAATATATTTGTACTCTCACTTATTCCACACTCACCTTGTTATACTAGGTTCTCAATCCTTTGGAAATACAAAATGTCTTTAAAGTTCCTTGACACCTATTTTGCATTTAGGGGTACCTTGTATCCCAACTGTTGGAGATTTCTCCAAGTGTCCATACTTTGAACAGAAAAGTCAGAATCCTAGGAATAACCATCTTTAAAGATGCTTTAAAGCCCAGAGTTTTCACTGGTGTTTCCCTGTGCCTTTGCATGTTTATCTAGAATTCCAGAGGCCTAAAATAAGGATCTAGAGCTATTCTAGGACATGCACTGCTTGGTTCACTGCTTCATTAACCTGCCCTAGTTTAGCAAAAAACTTGCCAGCCCTCCTTCCATGAAAGTATTCACTCAGCTACTTTAACGGGGAATGTTAACAGTAATCTCACTCAAGTTTTTCAAAAGATTTTCTATTCTCCCTGTGGCCTTTACATCAGGAACATATATGGGCAGGAAAAGGGAGGCAGCAACCTCTATGCTAGTTTTTGGAGAGAAACTATGGTATGAAAAGACTGCAAGTCCATGTGCTTTTTAAAAAGAAAAGGTCAAAGATACATACCTGTTTCATCCTTGCTGCAGCTCTATTTGAAAACAGAATCGACCTCTCCTTTTGGAAGCAGCATGGGCACATTTCAAGGGCTCGACTGTAAGAACTTTCAGCTTCTATATAATCTGAGGATGATAAGATAAAGGATGAGTGGTCATTATGATTTTATTCCTGATACTACTATATTCCGCAGGATCTCAGAAGCACTGTTTTCCATTCATAGGATGAAGGTTTCGAGTTAAAAGATGGTCATAGTCTATTAAGTCCAGGGCAGTAAAAATCACTTCCTCCTTTCTTCTCTCTTTAAAGGAACAGTGCTCACTTGTGCCAACCTCACAGACTGTGCTTGGTGAACTGACAGCTGAACATGCTGTCAGCGACAAGCCCTCAATACTCAGGAGTCCTGGCATTCCCTCAATATTCAGTTTTCATTTGGCTGGGCAATTCAGAAAGGAGTTTTCAAAGGAGGTTAGAGACCTAGAGAGAGGAAAGAGACTAAACTCTGGGATCCATGGCCTGAGATAAAGAAAAAAAGTATATTTGTTTTAATTAAATCTGTTGTGCTTTCATACAGTCAACCTGGCTAAAACGGCATCTGTGAAATGTTTGAAGAGAGACATTTGATAGAGCTAAAAGGAACAATGTAAAAATCAATATTTAAATCAAGACCTTAAAAGAGAAAATGGCGAAAAAGAGAATTATGGTCAGGATACTAACAGAAAATTGCCTATGTACTCCTTTCTCAGGTTTGAAATATTTAATATTAACATACAAAAAATATGCTTTCAAAATTAGAAGTATTTATTCTATTAGAAAAAAATATTAATGATTACTAAACCAGGAAATAGAAGAAAAAAAATTAAAATCTGAAATCAGATAATAGGGTAACTTTTGGGGAAAAAAAGAAAAAAATAAAAAACCTGAAAATAACTGGGGAAAAATCTTAACACGCCTAGATTTCTGACGGATATATACTTTGAGATGTGACAGAAGACTTTTGCTCTAAGATCAACTAGTTACCCCAAATTATCAGAATGAACCCCACCAACTTATTTCTAAGCAAATGTAGAAAATGCAGGACATGAAGAATCTCTCTACTTAAGGCATCCAAAGAAAATGGCACATGAAAGAGCAACCCTTCTGAAGCAGTCTGGAGAATTTAAAAAAAGAAAGAAAGCAGGAACAACCAAAGGACAGGCAGCCCTAGGCCGTACCAGAGCAGTCAGGCCTGCTTTTACAGCCCCACAGCAGGTGAGGAGTGGGGACTCTGCTTTTACAGCAACGCAGCACATAACCTTTTAACTTTCCAGGTTAGTGTTTTTCAAAGCAAGACCTCAGAGTTTCACCCTTGATTCTAGATTAACGGATAGTGGATTACAGAAAGACCATGCATGTGCCAAGAGACAAATGGTAACTTGTCACCATCAGATGAATAATTTGGCCTGTTTAAAAATCCAAAATGCCAAGGTACTGGGAAGCAACATTGTGTTGTGAAGTTTGGTTTTGGGGTTTCTTCAAATGTTCTTTGGGATTTCTTCACAGACTCTATAACAGGATGAGGAGTCAAGATGACCAGATTATCAGTGCTGAAAGTTATCTTACCTCCTTTCTTAAACTGTTCATTTCCCTCCTCCTTTAGTCTAGTGCTCTCTTCTCTTCTTTTCTGAAAGAGATCGGAGAATTACATAATTTCTCAATATTATTATACGTGAACAAAAAGGTGAGCTTTCTTTACACACAAGCCTATTTAATAAGCAACAGTCTGACTTTTGAGAACTGGATCAGTTTCACCAAAACCTTGTACAGTGTTAGAGGAAAAAAAACACATGACCATCGGGCTAATTACCAATTTGATTCTTGATGTTTAAAACAAAAAAATGTAGGTTTTCTTGGCATGTCTTTTGCTTTCTATGTTTCTGGCTTTTGCATGGAATGATAATTATAGTATCACTTAATTTCTACTTACTCAGAAATGAAACTAAATAACATACCCACTGTTGTACATACCAGTGTAAATTCAAATTCTAGCTTCCAGTACTTACTAGTTATGTGACCTTGGACAAGTTTCAGAATCTTTCTGAGCCTTAGTCTCTTCATTTCAAAAATGAAGCTTTAATAGTATTATGGAATACTGTTTAATGGATTAATGTAATAATATATGTAAAGCTGCTGATACAGTGACTAGCAAATAAGGGCTCAATAAAAAATCAGCTATTATTTTCTGTGAAATAAGTACTTTAATCCTTATAGATATAAGAACCCTTCATGGTTTGTGTCATGAAGGAGACACAGTATGCGAGGAGAGCACATTTGCGGGGACAAGCCATGTCTGTAGGGTTAGGGCAGTATACTGTTAGCAGGTTAACACAGGAAAATGTGAAGAAACCTAAATAAATTAGTCTGTCTTTTCTTAGCTTATTCAAACAACACAGAAACTCGCACAGATGGCCAAAAACTCATCAAATACAAAGGCTGAGAGAATATTTTCCTGCAAAGCCAAGTAGACACCCGCTGAGTGTGTGCACTTTCTTCTGGAACATCTTAACAATATAACTGGCACAAGCCAAACCAGAAGAGTCTGCCTGCCTGCCACCTTTTGACAGTGCTTTAAAATAAAAACAACAAAACCCCCCCAAAAGAGAGAATCCCCCCAAAGTCCCCCCCTTTTTATTTTTTAAAGAGATAGGGTCTCGCTATGTTGCCCAGGCTTGAGTACAGTGGCTATTCACAGATGTGATCAACACACACTATAACCTTGAACTCTTGGGCTCAAGTGATCCTCCTGCCTCAGCTTCCTGAGTAGGTGGGACTATAGGTGCACACCACTGTGCTGAGTTCTTTCTTCCTTCTTGAAGCTTCTGACTAAATAATCTCAAAGGGAGGAAATACAGTTTGAGCAGGGTATTTCATGCACAAGAGAAGCCTGGAACCTAAACAACTGTTCTTTTTAGCATTAGGAACTGATATGGTCTGTGTCCCTACCCAAATATCCCCACAGGTCGAGGGACGGACCCTGGATCATGGCGGGGTTCTCCCATGTTGTTCTCATGATAGTGAGTTCACTCTCATGAGAACTGATGGTTTTCAAGTGCCACACTTTAAAACCATCAGCTTCCCCTTCACTTTCCTCCATGACTGTAAGTTTCGTGAGGCCTCTGCAGACATGTGGAACTGTGAGTCAATTCAACCTCTTTTGTTTATAGATCACCCAGTCTCAGGCAATTCTTAATAGCAGTGTGAAAACGGACTAATATAGGAACCAAAGTAAAAATATTCTTTCTCTGGAAAAGATTTGTCAATATGCTATTGATGAGACCGGGTATTTCCCAAATGTCTTATTATTACACTGCGGATTAAACACAGCACTTGACGAATCTCAATGAAGAAACTAAAAGGTAAGTATAGAGTGAATCTAATTTTTATGATAGGTACTATGTGCCAGACACATAGCAGATACACATAAAAATTCATTTTAAGATATAATGTATCTGAGGGAAGGGCTATTCTAAAGGAATTCAGAAAAAAATAAAATATAAGAACATGGCCATATTTACCTAGTACTACCCATAAGAAAGATGCTTGGATTGTAATGATCTCTACTGTATTGATTAGGGTTATTGGATACAAGCAAAAGACTATCTTAAGCAAAAAACTTTAGGGGGCAGGCTCACTGGAAAGACATCAGCGTTCACAGAATCAATGAGAGGCTTAAAGAATAGGCTTAGAAAGCAGGTAGAGCTTGGCCGGGCACGGTGGCTCACGCCTGTAATTCCAGTACTTTGGGAGGCTAAGGTGGGCGGATCATGAGGTCAAGGGGTCGAGACCATTCTGGCCAACATGGTGAAACCCCGTCTCTACTAAAAATACCAAAAAGAAAAAAAAAAAAAAAAGTAGCTGGATGTGGTGGTGCGTGCCTGTAGTCCCAGCTACTCAGGAAGCTGAGGTAGGAGAATTGCTTGAACCTGGGAGGCGGAAGTTGGAGTGAGCCAAAGTTGTGCCACTGCACTCCAGCCTGGCGACAGAGTGAGACTCGTCTCAAAAAAAAAAAAAAAAAAAAAAAAAAAGAAAGCAGGTAGAACTCAAGGAGGCTTTGTTAAGAAGCAGAAACAGAATGCATGAGTGTCTTTTAGTGAAAGACTTGCCAGGACAGGGCTGCGGTGGTAGCAAATCAACTCTAACCATTCCATTTTCTTTGCTTCACTCAATCTAGATTCAAGGTCTTGGTCAGAAGCATCTAATATACCAAGCATCGATCACAAGCCTTGGTTGTCAGAGCATGAAGTGAGAGACATGGGGTACTGCCACTCAATAAGATCACAACCCAAGATAATTCCTCCAAATAGGAAGGGGTATTGGATGTTGGCAAGCAAAGAGAACATAACAAATTCAGTTAACAGTTATTTAAGAAACAAATTCTTCATAGAGGGGTTAAATCATCAAGTCACTAGAGCTTAATGCCCATCCTTTAGGAGTTTTCAATTTCTTTAGCATTAACTGTAAATCTTAAGCTACTTTCTGATCTATAATCTTCTCTTCAGAGCCAACTCATTAGGAATCTTCTATGAACACAGATGAATCAATCAGACTGCCAGATCAGGCTCTTGTGAAGTAAGTGTGTATGTGTGTATTCATGTTTTAGGAGACCAATCATTCTTTGGGAAATTTGTAACATCAAGTTCCCAATGGGCAAAGCCAAGACCCAAGTATTCAGAAAGGAATTAGTGCTGAGGGCCAGCCGGAGCAGCCAGCTTGAGAAATACTCACCATGTCTTTATTTTTATTTTCAGAGACAGGGTCTCCTTCTGTTGTCCAGGCTGGAGTGCAGTGGCACCATAAGAGTTTACCGTAACCTTGAACTCCTGGGCTCAAGCAATCCTTCTGAGTAGCTGGGACTATAAGCAAGCACCACTGCCTGCCCCTAGGTAATTTTTTTCTGTTTTTAGTAGACATGGGGTCTCACTGTGTTGGCCAGGTTGGTCTTAAACTCTTGGGCTCAAGCAGTCTTCTCACATCAGCCTCCCAGTGTGTTGGGATTATAGGTGTGAGCCAGTGTGCCCAGCCCTCATCTTGTCTTTCTAACTTGAAGGACTGAAAGTTGACCTAGCCAAGCGAAAGGCTCCAGAATGTAATTCTGAGGTTATTATTATTATTTTTTTTTTTGAGACAGACTCTCACTCCATCACCCAGTCTAGAGTGCAGTGGTGTGATCTTGGCTCACTGCAACCTCCACCTCCCAGGTTCAAGTGATTCTCGTGCCTCAGCCTCCTGAGTAGCTGAGTTTACAGGCATGCGCTACCACACCTGCCTAATTTTTTATATTTTTAGTAGAGATGGGGTTTCACCATGTTGCCCAGGCTGGTCTTAAACTCCAGGCCTCAAGTGACTTGCCTGCCTCGGCCTCCCAAAGTTCCAGGATTATAGGTGTGAGCTGAGGTCAATTACTCTAAGTAAGGTATTCCATTGTTTCAACTGATAACTCACAACCCAATGGGGCCCACTGAGTAGTAAACACTGAAAAAGAACTGCTGCTTCCCTCTCCACAGACTGTGCAAATTAAGAGTAATGCAATTATCAGTATCATGCTGAACATCTCCTTGGAAACAGCTAAAAATAGCACTTTGAGGAGCAAGTTGAACTATTTCCCAGCTGTGCCGAGACTGAATTGATGATCCCAGTACAAAGACTGGAGTTTTTTTCTGCTGAATATATTCTTTCTCCAAAGGATGACAGGCATACAGTACAATATTACTGGAATCCGAGGCTAGATATGATAAATTGTGTACGGGTCTTCCTTAGCGTGCTAGGTGCCAGAAGCACTCACACATACGTGAGCTGGCAGTGCTGATATTCTGCAGCACTATCAGGGGAGTCTTTCCAGGTTCTGTTCTATGAACAGAAGCTTCTAATGTGGTTAAAGCCCTTACATACCTCCACAATGCCTCTTAACACATTCCAGAGAGGCCTCACAGGGAAATATCTGATTTTGAATTATACTTTTATAGAAATGGAAACCAAAGAAATTTTACAAGGCCCTTTACTCAGTACTTTCTTCTCCATCACTGAAAACTTAGGGGGAAATAGTGACATTATCCTGCATTGTAAATGATCACAGGAACTGCCAAGGAAAGTCCCAAACAGATAATGCTCTCAAAGAATGGAGCTTATTTGAAAAGTTACTACCACAACTGTAAACTTCTCAACTTGGTATTCAAAATTCATTACAACCTACACCAGTACAGCGCTTCACTGCTGAAAATCTGCTGTCACATACATTAGCTCATTTGTTTTTCAAGATAATTTTGAGAGGTGGACATGGAGGTCTTGACTCATTTTACAGATGAGAAAAATCAAGGTTCAGAAATCTCTTGTTCACACTACATCAAGCTTCTGTTCCAACCAACTCAACCTATGCAACACAAGTCCTCTTTGCTAGACAGTCTGATCTCACTATTGTCTCTCAAAGCTTACCATGCTTTTCCCTCATCCCATTTGTTTGCTTATGTGTCCCCCATGTCCTTCCATGGAGTATCTCTTTCATATTCTCCTCTTTCATATTCTCCTCCCAACTCTCTCACACCAAATTTTCTGTAGTTTTCAAAGTCTAGTACAAACCATAGCTCCTCCCTGGGGCCACCTTTTACTTATTTTCCCACATTATCTTTC